AGACACGTTCAAAATTAAACTGTCATCGCTGTCTGAGCTTGCTGCTGTGTGCGCCATCGTGCGTTTACATGCAGATGCTGGGATCCTGAACGGTGCAGCTGGAGCGCTGTGCCCGCATTGACGTCACCCATAATTTGGCGGGACTTGAAGAATCCCCGAGAAGATCCAGGAAATGGTCAACATTGAAGGGCAGATTAATGGTTATCAAAGTACAAATATCCAAAATCAGTTCAGTAACGGTTTTCAAGGGGACAATATTTACTCAAATTGATGGGTTTGGATGATGGGGGAAAATCGTGTCACAGGCTCTTTAAGGCTTTATGATATCCTTCACAGTAGACATTTGAACATATACAATGGCTGATCACCATTTTCATTGCATTTTGGATGATCTAGTCAACTTTGTAACATCCATGGCCAAATACTTGTTGCTGATTTAGAGTACTGGCACCTTTTTTATTCCAATTCAAGCACTGCCCCCATGTGAATCACACCTGGCACACACAAACAAACACACACAGAACAATTTGATACATTTCCCGCTCTTATGTGCCCATCCCCCCACATGGATCACACCTGGCACACGCAATACAGTACATGTTCAGTGTTTATTCTTTGTATATTTACTGCAGTTTTTCATGTATACCAATATTTACAATTTGAAAGGGTGTTAAATGAAATTTGGTGATGATTAATGGTTTTTGTGTTAATGTAATAGCAGTTAAAACAGGACCGGTCAAATTTGACCGCAAACACCAAAGTAAGGGAGGGGGGAACAAAGACAACAGGAGGGTTTTAAAGAAGGATGGCCAATTAAAGCCTGTTTTATGCACCTTGAGCACACAGTTGCTGTTGACCAGGAGGTTGCCAGGTTTGATGTCTCGGTGTAGAATGCCAGCAGAATGAAGGTATTTAAGTCCTGGTGATGGTACGGTGCAGGAGGAAGAGACAACAGGAGAGAATATTACACCAGACATGGTATAGATTTGCAATACTTTGAATTTCAACCAGCTGCTTTTATCTTTTCCAACTTACTTTGAAAGAAACCAAAACACTGAACTTGAATAAAGTGAACAATGGCAGGAAAGAGGATTTCAAAGAAAAGTAGCTGAGAACCTACCTCGTAGAATCTGATAAAGAAACACTTTGGCGTGGTCAGAGCTCAGAGGCTGTGGTGATACGATGATCTTATGGAGGTCACTTTGCATCAGTTCAGTCACCACATAGCTAACCAGTGGGAAATTAAGGGGGGAAACAGAAACACATCCAACAGCACAAACAGCAAATCTCACTGAGAACCTCTGTGTTCTAAAGCCATACTCAATATCTTAAAGTTCAAGTTAAGCCTCAGAATCAGCAGGGCTCCTGTTTCCAACTATACCTACTTTAAGGACAGTTTAGTGTTCTCGTGACAGCTGATCTGGCCTCCTTGCCCTTAGAATATTTCAATCGTGGATATCAATTGTACTTGAGGCAAATATTTAACATTTTAAGCCTTTCTCGATCTCCACAAGGTATAAGAATATATTGCTACAATACAAACCAGTCCTCTGTTCAACCCAAAAATTACAATATGTATTTGTTATGTATTTATATATTATATAAATGTTTGCTTTAAGTCATCAATGCACTAGGCTCAATTAACTCATACATTTAATGCACTCGTCAATTTACTAGTTTGGGCAATTTTGCTTACACAAAATGTCTTCTTTTTTTATTGTCCAACTTCAAAATCAACTGAAAACTGCTATTGAAATGGACATGTTTTGTTTAATGTTTATGATTGTTAGAAGTTTGACAGGTACTACAGAGCTGTCCAATTTCCCGAAGATAACCCATGGTGTCTGGAAACAGGTATCAACACAAAACCCTCTTTGAATGAATCATTGGTGAAGGATACATTTCTTCAAAGTAGTCAATGTGAGGAGGTTGTAATATGTCCAAAGCAGAGAGAACCTGAAGAAAAAGGGAAAGCCAATATATGTTGTTTTCAAGTTGATACCAGGTGTGAGACCGAGACATCCAAAGACATCTGCTTTTCAGTCGTCATGCTAACAAGGCTAACGCTACTCATCAAGAGAATCAATCCTGAAAGTTAGCTGTGAGTTGAAGCAAATTTTCATAGTCGCCAAAAGGCTGTATACTAAAATGGTTTGTCAGTAACATGACATCACTGGGCTCCAAGTGTGCAAACTCGCCCGGGTCCCCAGATGATCCAGGTCTTTTTGTACTCCAGTTTGGCTTTGCATGCCACTGAGAAATGTTTATATGAATGAAAGGGGGCCATGCCTCCAACGCTCTATCCATTTCTCTTTAAACATCCATGATGAGAATTAAATCATTGATTGGAAAAGCTTGCGACTAGTGCTACCGAGCCCCGGTGTTAAACGGGGGGGCGGGGCAGTTTACACATGGCCGGCCCTGAACAATTTGCTGCCCTAGGCAAGATTTTAGCTATGATACAGAACTGCAGAACTGCAAGCAGATTTTCTTTTTCTTTATGGATATTTTACAAATCACTCCCCTTTCAAACTTCATTCTTGTTTATTAATAAGAACTTTTTTTACCGTCATATAGTATTTTATACCTGTTTTTCTTCTATTCTCTTATTTTTTTATAGCTATAATGATCATATAAAAAGGTGTGCTCACTGAGCTGAGGTTATTTTTACTGGGGCTGGGGCAGTTCAATTAGATTTTTTTTGGGGGGGGTGTGCCATAGTTTATGGGCGCTGTACGCAATATATGCGTAGTTCTGTTAGTATAAGATAATAACATGTACTTAGTTGATCCAAAATCGGGAAATTGTGTTATGAAATTAAAAAAATATATATTTTTTAAATTTCTAACTTTATTTTTTTCTCGATTTTCGGCGCCCCCTATGGGATGATTCGCCCTTAGCATTCGTCTATACTGCCTATGCCGAGGGCCGGACCTGATTTTACACACACGCTGCTGCTACATGCAGCAACACACACACACGGAGGAGATGGCGGGGAGAACGCGCTCCGAGGTGTGGTTAAACTTTACCCGTCTCGATGTGAACAATGCTCGTTACCAAAAGAGCAATAAGAGTTTAGCATGTAAGAGCGCACGAGCAATTTGTCTAAACATTTAGCAAAAGTGCACCACATTCAGACGGAAAAATGCACCGGGTTCGACTGTCTTTCTAGTAGCTCTGTAGCCCCATCCACGAGTAACGTTTCCACGTCAGGTGTTATGTATGCTAGCAGCAACACACAGAGTTAACTCAATTATACAAACATGGGTTACTGATTAGAGGTAACTGAGTTATTTATTTTGTTAAAGTTTCAGCTATTCTGTTTACAGTTCTGCCATCAGATTATTTAATACGAATTGTTAAAACATTGTTGTTTCTTTTGATGTGAAATATTATTTAATTTAAATAATAAGCAATGTTAATTTTGTTCACAATTTGTTTAGTTAGTTTACCTTCTCTTTTTCTCCAA